TGATCTCACTGCAGACTCTAATGGTCACAGAGAAGAAAAGATGAAGAGAAGGAAAGATTAATAAGTGAAGACTGAAGGAGAAGGGGAGAGAGAAAAAGGAGGGATGGACGCTAGAGGGGAGAGGAGTGTAGGAGAAGAGGAGAGGAGGTCATGGTGTCGGGGCGTCTGACGGAGTGTGGAGAAAGTCTCTGTCTGCTTCTTATCGTTAATCTTCTCCTCTGTCTGTCGGAGGGAGGTGTCCTCCTCTCTGCTTTCATCTCCTCTCATCCATCTCGTCTCCTCCCGCTCTGTCTATCTTCAACTACAGAGGCCTCGACTCACCCTCGTGTGTGTGTGTGTGTGTGTGTGTGTGTGTGTGTGTGTGTGTGAGATGAAGGTCAGGGAGGTTTATTTAAATTAATATGTGTAGAAAAACACAATGTTATACAGTCAGAAATAAACGGTTTCAAACACACACACACTTCTCACTTTCATTTATCACACACACTTTTTCCATTAGGACACACACACACACACACACACACACACACACACACACACACACACACACACACATACTTGGGGTCCAGTCACCTGTAACAGGCCGAGCTCAGGAACATCACGCCCCATTACACCACCACACCGCCCTGTGTGTGTGTGTGTGTGTGTGTGTGTGTGAGTGTGCATGAGGCCATTAGCTGTAATATATCCTTTCCTCTCCGTCTGTATTTGATCCCTGCTTTTACTCTGCAGCTTGTTTGCTCTCTGTCTCTCTCTCTCTGTTGGTTTTGGGGTATTTGAAGGGAAGCTACAAGTCATCGCCCCTCTCTCTCTCAGGCTGCACAGAATGTCACTGTTCTGTGTGTGTGTGTGTGTGTGTGTGTGTGTGTGTGTGCGCATGTGAGCACTTGGATGAGTTCTGGTTACTGTTGTTAATCCTCTGTCCTCACCTTGCCTCGAGATGTTTAGCGTGTGTGTGTGTGTGTGTGTGTGTGTGTGTGTGTGTGTGTGTGTGTGCATTAAGGGGTCTGGTTAGTTTTGGGTTCGCCGTTTCCTGCCGTGTCCACACCTCCAGAATGCTGACTCTTTAAGTTTGTGTGTGTCGCTGGCTGCCCCGTTTCCTTATCCATCGTTCAACGTCTTTCTCTAAAGAGAACCAGAGTCAAACTGGACCGTCTGTTCTCAGAGTCAACGACATTCACATTTGAAACAACACAAATGACTTAAAGGGGAACTCCACAGATTTATAATGTGCATCTGTACAGTTACATTGAGGAGACAGAGGACGGATTGAGTCGTCAAAATTGAAGCAGCAGAGGGCAAAATCCTGACTTTTAGTCCCTAATCAGAACAGTAGATCCTACACTTCCCAAAATGCAGCTCCACTGTGTTTCATTAGACCATCCCTGCCTCCTAAATACCTTTTAAACACAAACTAAACAGTTTGTAACATGGCTTTTCTTCAGTTCAAACCAGAGTCAGAGTTCACTTTAAAGGCAAGATACAAGAAACCCTTTCCCATTTCTCTCATTTTGTGCCTCCTCGTCTCCTCTGTCCTCGCTTGTGACCTTTAAACCAATATCAGTGCTTCACCTTGAAGGATGTCGTCATTCCTAAAATTTAATAGACATCAGGGATGCACGATATTGGATTTGTTGCCAATATATAACAACTCATTTGACCGATAACTGATATCGATATATCCACCTTTTCCCCACCTAATGTTAGTGATCATCAAGTCTGTTCTGTAGTGGAATTAACATCATATTATACATACAGACTCTTATCATGAAGGACATGAAATACTGTTCAGTGTCTGTAATATTCAGTCATTGTGCAAAATAAGAAGAAGCATGTTGGCTGATTCTGAGAGTTCATTTTAAAGCCAATATCGGCCAAAACCGAGGACGAACGATGACCCCGAGGCAACGTATCTTCTTAAGTTTAAAGCCTGTCATCTTGACTCCTCTCTCCATGCATCTCTTCCTTGGCCTCCCTCACTTGACACTAGGGCTGCAAGTAACCATTATTTTCATTGTCGACTAATCTGCCGATTATTTCTTCGATTAGTCGACTAATCATTTTATCGAAAAATGTGTTAAAATGTTGAAAAATGTCGGTCTGTCTCTCCCAAACCCCAAAATGATGTCATCTAATGTCTTGTTTCGTACGTGTGTAAAGCTGCCAATATCTGAACGTAAGAAGCTGCAATAAGAGTATTTTGGGTACTTTTATAGTACTTCTCTATGAAAAATGACTCAAACCAATTAGCCAACTACTAAAATAGTCACTGATTATTTTAATAGTTGATTAGTCATCGATTAGTCGACTAATTGTTACAGCCCTACTTGACACTCCTGTGGACAGGACTAAGATGTGAGGAGAGGATGAGAATGTTCCAACTGGGGAATGAGAAAGGCCTCTTAATGTGCTGCGGTGTATGGCTGCACAACATTGTGATAGTGAGAAAAACATTTTATAAAAAGCAGTTGTAACAATCAAGAAATATAAATATAGAATAATATTAGAATGGAGATTTATATTCTTACTTTTCAGAGGGTCACAAAAACCTTTATTTGACTGTTTTCACAGGAAGTGCAGCACTGTACACGACTATATACAGTACAGGCCAAAAGTTTGGACACACCTTCTCATTCAATGCGTTTTCTTTATTTTCATGACTATTTACATTGTAGATTCTCACTGAAGGCATCAAAACTATGAATGAACACATGTGGAGTTATGTACTTAACAAAAAAAGGTGAAATAACTGAAAACATGTTTTATATTCTAGTTTCTTCAAAATAGCCACCCTTTGCTCTGATTACTGCTTTGCACACTCTTGGCATTCTCTCCATGAGCTTCAAGAGGTAGTCACCTGAAATGGTTTTCCAACAGTCTTGAAGGAGTTCCCAGAGGTGTTTAGCACTTGTTGGCCCCTTTGCCTTCACTCTGCGGTCCAGCTCACCCCAAACCATCTGGATTGGGTTCAGGTCCGGTGACTGTGGAGGCCAGGTCATCTGCCGCAGCACTCCATCACTCTCCTTCTTGGTCAAATAGCCCTTACACAGCCTGGAGGTGTGTTTGGGGTCATTGTCCTGTTGAAAAATAAATGATCGTCCAACTAAACGCAAACCGGATGGGATGGCATGTCGCTGCAGGATGCTGTGGTAGCCATGCTGGTTCAGTGTGCCTTCAATTTTGAATAAATCCCCAACAGTGTCACCAGCAAAACACCCCCACACCATCACACCTCCTCCTCCATGCTTCACAGTGGGAACCAGGCATGTGGAATCCATCCGTTCACCTTTTCTGCGTCTCACAAAGACACGGCGGTTGGAACCAAAGATCTCAAATTTGGACTCATCAGACCAAAGCACAGATTTCCACTGGTCTAATGTCCATTCCTTGTGTTTCTTGGCCCAAACAAATCTCTTCTGCTTGTTGCCTCTCCTTAGCAGTGGTTTCCTAGCAGCTATTTGACCATGAAGGCCTGATTGGCGCAGTCTCCTCTTAACAGTTGTTCTAGAGATGGGTCTGCTGCTAGAACTCTGTGTGGCATTCATCTGGTCTCTGATCTGAGCTGCTGTTAACTTGCCATTTCTGAGGCTGGTGACTCGGATGAACTTATCCTCAGAAGCAGAGGTGACTCTTGGTCTTCCTTTCCTGGGTCGGTCCTCATGTGTGCCAGTTTAGTTGTAGCGCTTGATGGTTTTTGCGACTCCACTTGGGGACACATTTAAAGTTTTTGCAATTTTCCGGACTGACTGACCTTCATTTCTTAAAGTAATGATGGCCACTGGTTTTTCTTTAGTTAGCTGATTGGTTCTTGCCATAATATGAATTTTAACAGTTGTCCAATAGGGCTGTCGGCTGTGTATTAACCTGACTTCTGCACAACACAACTGATGGTCCCAACCCCATTGATAAAGCAAGAAATTCCACTAATTAACCCTGATAAGGCACACCTGTGAAGTGGAAACCATTTCAGGTGACTACCTCTTGAAGCTCATGGAGAGAATGCCAAGAGTGTGCAAAGCAGTAATCAGAGCAAAGGGTGGCTATTTTGAAGAAACTAGAATATAAAACATGTTTTCAGTTATTTCACCTTTTTTTGTTAAGTACATAACTCCACATGTGTTCATTCATAGTTTTGATGACTTCAGTGAGAATCTACAATGTAAATAGTCATGAAAATAAAGAAAATGCATTGAATGAGAAGGTGTGTCCAAACTTTTGGCCTGTACTGTATGTAGTACTGGGGAAGAACTAAACTTTGTGGTACTTAAAATTCAACAGCGATTATACTTAATAAATTCCAGTTTTGGAACATCACCTCACTAAACAAGTTCTCATCTGGTTCACTTCATTTTTCTGGGCAGGACTGAATTATTTAATGGTGTGATATTTTTGTTTAATATTTTTTCAGCAGCTTTTGACATCATTTACTCAATGACAGGCACTGGTGTACTGTTTTCCTCTGACTAATAACAACTGACATTTTTTTAGACCTCTTATTCTACAAAGTTCTTTTTCAGATCAAGAATTTCAGCCAAAGTTTTCAAATGTTAAACAGCTGTACAAAATAAATAAATAAGTAAAATACAAAATGCTAAATTACATTCTAAAATAGAAACAACAGAAAATGATGAAGAAAAAAAATGAAGGAGATGATAAATCTGAGCAACTTATTGATGCTCTGTGTTACTCTGTGTAACGTTTCAGTCAGCATGGCACCCTGGTGACTGAGGGGTTAAAATACTGATCATGTGCTACAACATCTCATGAGCTACACACACATATATCTACATATGTATATATGAATTTTAATGGCTGTAAATGCTGTAGCTGCTGATACTAATTCCTCTATTTCTGGAATTCATTTCACTTTTCAGAGAAATCTGTGAAGGAAACCTTCAGTGAGGGATTACGCTGAGTGACATAAGCCTCTAGACAGGATGTGATGTAAAGAATCTCTGCTTCCATGTTTATGTGGACGTATCTTTGCTCTCTCTCCTCAGGTGTTGGTTCCTCCACAGTTGTGGCATTTTCGGCTTTCCTCAACGGCCGCTACCCCGCCGCTGACCTGACCGGAGACGTCACCGTGTCCTACAGCTCGCCCACAGGTAGACACACACACACACACACGCACGCACACACACACACACACACACACACGCGCACGCACACACACACACACACACACACACACACACACACACACAAATTTCCTGTTGGTTTCTGTGTGTGCTAGTTAAGTTCCAATCAAAACTTTTAAAATCATTTTGACTGATGGGTTTTCCAGAAACACTGGTGGTGATGAGTTCCTGTTTGACTCAGAGTCAGTCAATCAAACTTTGCTCTGAACTTGTTTGATTGTTGTTCGAACAGTACGATCATTAAAAACCTGGAAAAGTCATTGAATCTGAAATTTTTCCAGGCCTGGAAAAGTTTCAGAAAAATGTATAAACCCAGAAAATTTTGGAGAAGTCGTGGAAATTTCCTTCATTAACACCTGTGTAACAGAGTATATAGACTGTGTATGGACAGATCAGTCACGTCACTGATGTCATGTTGTTTGTGGTTTAACGTCAGACTCCAACCTGAGTTGCAGCTTCCACTGAATCCAGATGTAAATTCACGTGATGTCAGAAAAGTGCAGATTTATTTATGTCTGGCTTCACTTGGTTAAGTACAAGGTAGGCTTGAGAAAGACCGGGAGTCAGGATGGACAAAACATGGACTGTGTAGTTTAACTTTCAACATTTCGAACATGGGAGAGACGATACTAGCTAGCCATGCCAAAGGAGCTAACATTAAGCACCAAGCTGCTGCGCAAAGAAATGAACTTCTGTTACTGGTGTGAGCCCTAACTGTGGGCGCTACATGTGGCTAATTTTCACAAACATTATTTCAACACGTCATGTGAAATCATAAGCCAGCTTTTTCAGGTCACCTCACACGGCACTTCAGCATATCTGATTAATAAGTTGTAAAACTGCAGTGACACTCAACATGATTTACAGTGACAGTGTTCAAAGCTGACAGATATCTAGAATCCAAAACAAGTCTTGAAAAAGGATCTTTCTTTAACAATATTAATATGAAAGTAACATTATGAATGCAGTCTGAAGTGTAACATCAGATCCAGTGTTCTGTAAAGGCGCTGAACACCAGCTGCTAACAGAGCGCTGACTTGACGTAAGGAAATCTGGGCTCCTTCCAGACAAGCCCAGTTCATCCCCCTGCTCCCTCCAGGCGTCTGTTTCCAGGCCCTGCAATATTTCTGGAAGATATTACTTTCCCCTGCAAACCAACAAAACCACTCTATATTTCAAATGTCACAGACGTCCTTTTTTAAAAATACTGATTTCAGCGTTGGTTCAAAAAACAGCTCATGAAAAAAAAAATCTGTGTTTTCATGCTATTGTTTCCTTTGGATTACATTTGCTTTGGCAGGTGTCAGCTGGTGGAACAGTTCCCCTCCCCAGAAGCACATTTAATGTGAAATGTCTGGAAATGTTGGGAAGTGTTTCTTTTTTGTTGAGCTTTATTGTGATGCTAAAAATAGCTGAGAATAAGGAGCATTTCAATGGGCCTTGGAAGCCAAGCAGCTGGGGTGGAGCGCAGTGTGTAGGGGGCTGATCTCGTGTTTTGGAAGGGACCTGTTGGACTGGAGGTAGAAATTGGAAGAGGTTTATTAAAAGTTGGAGGAAGAAGAGGCACGCAAGGGTGGAAACAAGAGAGCAGAGGTGAAGTTGGACGAAGGGAAGGAGGTGAATTATGAGTGGGTGGAGAAGAGTAAAGGGAGGAGAGAAAGGAGCAAAGCTATTTTAGGGGTCCAACATTCACCGTGTCGACATGCACACTTATATCTCGCTGTTTTTGAATTTGATACGGATCCTGTAAACAGCATATTTAATTTGGGTATTCAGATTGATGCCTTGTTCTGAACATAGCATATTCTGATTAATACGTGTGGAATATGCCAAAATATTTCAGGTTTTAGGAGCAGTCTTTGGATGTGTATGTGACACATTCCAACACAGTGTCACCCCCAACTTGTCAAACACACATGCTTGGACACCGACGCACCGAGGCCTGGTTCAGACTTCACAACATGCCAATTTTGCAACCAGACCTTGAAGTGTATTTATTAGCATCTACGAGCATTTAGCATTGCTGCGCTGATCAGTGCATCATTTCATGCTGCATTTCTATTGGTTGGTTAGTAAATGTAGGTGGCAACAGCAGTCACACAGTGAGACGGTCATCCTACATCGCAAGACTGTGACAACGGTCATCCTTGAATGCGGCTGGAATAAAATAATTGACTCATCTGACTCAAATCAATCTTCATTTGAATGATCCGATATAGGCTCATAAAATCTGAGATTGATCTTTTAATGTACACTTTTTCCCACTGTTGTGTGAAGCTTTAATCCCGTTAATCTTGCCTGGTAGTAAACGACTCTGCTGCTAAATTATTAGCGACGGTAGTCTTGAGAAGCTCCGATGTTAGTGGTTCTTTTATCTGTAACTGTTAGCTTACTGTTTTTATGATTTGGTGTAATTCATTATCGTGCTGCAGCAGCCTGTCCTCCTGCGGTCTGAGTGGAGAGATCCTGCGGTGGAGACAGAGAAGTGAAGATAACTTGAGCTGACGACAGCTACGTTTATTACTGTGAGTGCAACGGCCATCCTTCAACCTCTCACTGTGCGACGTAGGAGCACTGTTGTAGAGCCACGACCAAAGATATCTCCACGTTTCTTTCACATTGGTCATCTTTCGTCTCGGTCAGCCCAAAATCACACAGTGTGTACGGGGCTTTAGACCTGATGTTTCTGTTTATCTCAGAGGTGTTGGACGTGTTTATTTCTCATGTTGACTGTCGAATGTCGCAGCAAAAGAAAAAATAATTGCTGCTGTGATAACTTCCTTTCTGAGTGTTACAAACTGTTTCTGACTCAGACGGGACTTCCTGGGTCGTATTTCATGTCTCACCTTAAACAAACGCCCCTGTGCTGTTTTAACACAGGCCTGTTGTCGGTGTGAGTCCTCACTAACACACTCTGCAGAGGTTTAACCATCATGTGGCGTCTTATCTGCTCTAAACTGTGGTGGTGAACTGCAAAGTGGTCATCTTAAGAGCATGGTCTTGGATGAGTGTTGGTGTGTGTGTGTGTGTGTGTGTGTGTGTGTGTGTGTGTGTGTGTGTGTGTTCCTGCAGTGTTAATCTGCATTAATGCCTCGTCTCCTCTCATCCTCTAAATGCTCTCCTGGTATGGGAGGAATGCATCACTTTGTCTCTATCTCTTTCTCTCTGCTCTCCCACTCTGAGGGTGATGATTACGCCTGAACACCACCCGCCCCTCGTAACACCACCCACCCACCCAGTGGCTACTGCGCCCGTCTTTAAGCCCTACAAAGGCTTTGACATTTAAGAAGGCTGTTGACTCCTTAAGCCCTTCAAAGGAGGCTCGTCTGTGACTGTGGTCGTTACAATCTAGAAAGAATTTCATTAGTGCCCCTGTGTGATTTTCCTAACACCCTGACAATGAGCTTTACACAAACACACTTCAGAGGGATCAAGTGGTCAACTTGGCATTTACAGTAGATTGTGCACTCACACACACAATGGGCATTTTCATCCAAGCTGTGAGAGATAAGTTGCGACTGTGCGGATAATTTCCATAAAACACGGCCAGCCATGATTCATTGGTTGCTAAGCCAGTTCATGTGGAAACCCAGGGAGCTTGTTGGCAGTCTGTATTGTTTTCTCCTGTTTTATTGAGCCTGCCAGAGTGACCAACATCTCCATATGCTGGTGTGTCCAGGAGGCTGCACTCGTTCTGTTTGCTCCTTCCTTGTTAACGACCAGAACTGTAACCCATTTGCAGGGAACTTTGTAGGCTGGCTGAGGTTGTTGCTGCCAATCAGATGGTGTTCTCAGCCCTGTTTGTTTGTTTGTTTGTTTGTTTGTTTGTACTGTATAAGACACATTTAGTTACAGATTTGGTGCAGAGTTAGGCCAATGAACAAGCGAATCTTTTTTAGTGCTAACTTTTTTACAGGATTTAATTTGAGGTTTTTTTATAAAGAGCTGCTGGATGAATAAAATCTGGCACAGATACAGCAGCGCTGAAGAATTAATCAAATTTTAATCACAATTATGATTTTGGCTTCCTGCAAATTAATGAACATGATCGGCTGCGATATTGACATTTAAAATAGGAAACTCTGCTGCATTAGATTAAGCACTTTCTGAACGGCCAGCCTCCACTTTGGGGAGCTGAACGCTACACATGCACCCTGCAGCTGCAGCAGCAGCCTGTGAATAACTTTCCTTAATATTCTGACTGCAGATGGGCTAAACGAAAATCATCCATTCATCAGTCATCATCTGTTGTTTTGAAGTATTTTGCATGTAGGGGTGAACATTTCATATGCAAAGAGTGCATGAGAATTGAGTCTGTGCGACAAAGTAACACAACTAACTTGTTAAACCACCTGAACAAACACCACAATCTGCAGCATGATGAACACTCGAAGGCTGAGAAGAATAACGACCCAAACTTTACCTCACTGAATCCCCGTCCTGGTTCAGCCTCAGCTCACACATCCGTAACAGCGCTACTGTACAGCGCGTCATGGTGCTGTGACTGCTGTTTAAAAACGTATACAGCGACAGAGACGCATTTACAGGAGATGCACTGAATTCAGATACATAAGAACACAGCACAAGATGAAAATGAAGTCAGCACAATTTTGGATGACAAGTTTTGGGACAGTTTTATTTCCAGTTGTTTCTTGGAGATGCACTGAACACAGGTGAAGACGAAACTTATTTTCTCACACTGGTCCTTTAAACGGTCTCACAACCCCATCACCCTGTGGCCTGTACTCATAGAGAGTCCAACAGATGTGGGGGGTTGAAAAATTTGAAAAACAATAAGTTCACAAAAGGAGTCTAAAAAGATCCTGGAGGGATTTTTTTAAAGCTGAGATATTTCTAAGAATCTTAAAAAAAAACAGTTTGGTGTTTCTGTATTTAATTAAACACAAGAACACCTTCTCATCTGTCTCAGTTATTATTGATAGAATAAAAGCTTCAGTCATGAAACACTCAACTGATTTTTTTTATTTGACCACAGCAGCTAATGGATCCAGAATTTCGCTGGTTTCAGCCGCTCTCATTTCTGCGCCGTTACAGACGATTTTAGAACAGGAAAGACTGATTGAACAGCGGCTGGCAGCAGGCCAGGAGCGGCTACTGTGTGCGTGTGTGCGTGCGTGCGTGCGTGTGTGTGTGTGTGTGTGTGTGTGAGGGCCTCCTTGCTCCATTTGACACGTCCTTTACGTTTAACTGCAGCTTTCACTCAGCAGTGATGCTTTTAGTTCTTTCTCTCTTTTCCTCTTCATGTTGTTCTTTCTCTTTTTTCCTCATTTTCTCCACCAGTTCTGCTTTTCTGTCTTTTCCTTGGCGGTGCAGAGCGGTGAGAGGAGGTCGAGACGGAGTAACGACAGGAGTTAATGTGTGTTTTAGGATTAGGTGATACTGCTGAATATGAACATATTTAGAGAATTTGTAGGCACAGTTGTTACGACCCGGCTCGTACAGGGAGAGGGGATGACACATTGCACCAGATGTTTTAAGAATAAAGTTATTTATTAATAAAGCGGGTTAAGGGTTGTTCTTACAATCAAAAGTGAGGCAACCTACAACAGAAAAGGGGTTTAGTGTTGCTGTAGCCCACAGGAAGTGAGGATTAGAATATATGACCTTCACATAATCCGCTCCAAATTAATCTATATTTTTAAAGTCATTACTAAAAGTGTGTGTCATATAAAAACTAAAGTGATGCTCAAAGTTGTCACAGTGAAATTTAAGGTGTGCTGATGGATTCACGTCATCAACTCATGCATTGAGTAACATTACAAGTTAACGTTCCACCTTAAAAGTTGCCGGCAGTCGGCCCAGTGAATGAAGTTATTTTTTTCTCTTTCATTTTATAATTGTAGTTTACTGATGTATGAACAGAGGTTACATAAAACCAGAGTGAGCATCCTCTACTGACCAATCAGACTGCAGGGTTTCTAGCTCCACCTTTTAGTACCAGATCTGTGTGCTAGGTACCCCAACAGAGGGGGGACCAAACATGGGGACGGTTTTTAGGTTCATCAAATTAGAAATATCCGAATATTTCAGTAAAAGCCAGAGTTGTGACGGAGAGACAGACCGAGGCCGAGTTATTACAGGAAGGAGCCGCTGCAGTGAGGAAGTGTGACTTTCATCAGCTTTAATAACATGTGAACTTTCTGACTCAGCACCTCTGAGCCTTTTCATTGGCCTGCAACCTGCCATCTGCTTCTCATTCACCTTCACAGGAAATCCTCTTCGACCAATCAAATCAGAGCATAATCTGCCAGACTTCTATTGCAGCGGCGTAAAGGTTAGAGAAGCAGGAGGCCGACTGTTTAAATCCCAGAGCAGCTGGGAAACCTGGCAGAGAGGAGCACGGATAAAAGATGCTCTCCCTTCCAAGAAAAAAAAAAAAAAAAAAGTTTCGCAACCTGAGTTTGATTCTCACAGCTCAGAGTTACTGTTCTGCCCTTTTTGGATGTTCCTGCTTATTTTGGCAGGTCGCTAACAATCCTCCAAAATAGGAGACAAAAGAGGAGATTAATTGATGCCTTATACATGACGGATTTCTCTTAAATCTGCACACACACAAAAATCTTCCTCAGAGATCTAGTATTTCCAAATGCTTTGTCCAAGCGCAGCAGGACTGATACCAGCACATGTGACTGTCAACCTGTCAGCTTGAGCTTTATATATAATGTGATTCCTCTACAGACGGTCCGACAAAAGAAAAGCAGTGAAACATCTCGTGTGGTCAAAAAAAGGTTAAATAATTTACACAGTTCTGAAAAGTAGAATTACCACAAGGCAGAGAAGATGCATGCTAACAGTGGGCTGTAACAGGGATGTCAGTCTCGGTTGATTTGCTTTCGATGGGCCGATACCCGTTAACTGGTCACTAACTGGTTATTTTTTAAGGGACAGAAAGACCTGAGAAAAAGATGGGGATGTATCTGCACTTATGGTTGCTGCCATCTTGCTCTAGTGATGTCATTTGGAGCCAGAGTCTGTGTGTTAGCGATCTCCAGTCATGATCTCCAGTCACTGATCATGAGCACACCGTTTGACGCTCACAGCTGTCCATCATGAAACTTCCTTATTTTCTTTTTCTTTTTTACATCATATCACTAATTAAAACCAAACTCATCAGAAAAACAAACAGTTGAACATCAGCATGATAAGACATACCTAAAATGACATAAACCCTCTTTGGGAAAATTTATTTGACATGTACTAAGTTTATAGTTTGGCTCATGTCCCATCTGCCAACATGGAGGGGCGGGGTTTATGTACTGCAGCCAGACACCTGAGGGCAATCCAGATGCTTTAGCTTCTCTTCAGGGGAGCTGTCACGTCGTCCATAGAGCCCACCCTCTGTTCTTCACTGTTTCCTCGGCTGCTCTGCACTGCACACCACCCGGGTCAGGTGACAGCTATCGTTAACTGGTTTGCAGCACTGCTTATTCAACAGTTACAGCTGGTTACACTGTCTCAGCGGTGGAAGAAGTTGCTGTGGAAACATTGTGCCCACCCTGCGGTCGTACAGACGAGGGATGTCAGCTGTTAACCGTTCATCTGTGACCTGTCTAGAATATTTTTGACTGGTTACACATGTTGGTCTGTGGGTTAATTTTGCTGCCCTTCAGTTAACTCTTCAGTGCACTGTGCACTACCTGGGTCTGGTGGGAGCTCTTTAAAAGTGCCACTCATTTGGTGATTACCGCTGTTAACGCCATCCTGACCAAACAAGGTCGCTGTGGAAAGATTGTGCCCAACCTCAGTCTCCCCTCAGCTAGCCGCAGTGAGTAAACTGCTCAAATTTGAGCCGTAAACTTCCTTTTGCATTTTTGACTATGTTATTATTGTTACCTCTGTTCCCACTGTTAGCAGTGTCAGTGGTGCTTAGTCAACAATGCTTAGAGGCTTCTGCAGCTCAAAATGAAGCCTCCCAATCACGAGGTGAGCTGGGTGGAGATGAGAGGGTGGGCACATGTTTCCACAGCGACACTGTTGGGTCAGGGATGGCAGTAACAGCAGTAATCACCAAATGAGTGGCGCTGCTAGTGAACTCTCGACAGACCCTGATGGTGTGCAGCGCCGTAAACTGAAGAGCAGCCGTAGACTTGCAGACCAACATGTGTCGGCGGTCAAAGATATTCTCAGCAGGTCCATTTACCATTTACCATGTTGATGGGATGACATTTTATCCAACTTTTAGGTGAAAGGTGAAATTATTTACTCTAAATGTCAGCTGTAAATGTCTGTTGCTTACAGGGGCTCCTTTATCTTTGGCCCTCCATGTCTTAGTTTTGCACACACAGTTTTTCGTCGTCTGTTCGCTGTTGACTGAAGGTGTCTTCTTCTCTTCTTTTAAACTCTGATGGTTGTATAAGCCCAGATGTCTCTTTCTCCAGATTTCATCAGACCAGTTTTCATACTAACCCCTCGATGAGCAGATGTTTAATTTTGGATTTGGACATCTTATCATACTCAGGATCGTTCTGGCTCAGTCAGGAGGGCCGCGCTCTCCTCCAGCGGTACTTTCCGAGTGTGTGGGAAGGCGAACGAAGCACACCCAGAGTGTGTTTCAACTTTGTGTAAATCCATATGTAGAGAGAAAAGGAGGAGGTTTTCACAGGGAATCCCCTCCTCTTCCAACAGTAGAGTCCAGTTCTCCCAGTGCTGCTTTGTTACTGGTCTGCACTGAAGAAAACTAGACAAAATATAGTGATAAAAAAGTCTTTCATCTTCTGTTTCTGTCTCTGTGATCTGTCTGAACGTTATGTTTTAACCTTTAACTCTTCTCCTCTTCCTCTCTGCAGAGCTGAATCCCAAAGGTAAGAATTGGTCTGTAGGAATAGACAATAATAGAGTAGAGCGAGTAGAAGCACACACACACACACACACACACACTTTATTAAAAACACAAACGTGCACTGTAGACGTACACATATACACATCTGCAGTATTTTGGGACACAGTTTAATATCCTCTTACACACAGAAACACACACATAATCAAAACTACAGTGTCTGCATTCCAACATACACACACACACACACACACACACACACACACACACACACACTGCTGTATATACAGGAAGAGACTGCTGCCTACTGTTTATGTTCCTGTAACGTGATACTTGGCAAGACTTTGTACACACACACACACACACACATGCAGATGCTTGTACACACATACACACTTCCTCACTGTATGGAATAAGTAAATATCCATTTATATCCTTTTATAATCTCTGCAGTTTACACAGAAACATCATCTGTTTCACATACACACACATGGAGGCGCACACACACACACACACACACACACACACACACACACACACATACATACACGCACCTATTTGAGTTGTAGTGTTCCTCGTCGTCAGCCAGTGTTTGTTTTAGTGCGTCTGAGTTTGTGTGCTTTGATACAAAATAGGATGTCCTGTAATCTATAGTGTGCTTAGAGGCCCTGCAGTAGTACACACACATACACACACACACACACACACACACACACACACGTACAGCAGTGTATTTTTTTCCTCCCACTCTTGTCTGCAAATTGTGTTCATATGCAGCTATTCTGCATCAGCCAAACAGATTGTTGGCGACACGTACACCACCAAAATTAAAGGTTTTTAATCTGTGTGTCAGAAAGAAGGAAAAGACTTAAGTTCATTAAAAAAAACACAACAGTTCTCACACTTATTTATAATGGTATGCACATGTATAAACTCACACTGCTACATCAGACACACAATAAGATAACTGTTCTAATGTGAACTGAACTGAAAGGCTTGGAGGAAACGAGACTAAAGTGTTTCATGCAGTTCATTCTCATTGACGTAGATGTTGGGTCAGTCATTAGAGAGTCATTCTGGTCAGAAAAACATGCTTCAAACCCACCAAAGTTTATTTTAAATTCAGTATTTTAAACCAGCAGGTTTTTACAACGTTGCACAACAGCCAGTTGCAAGTAGGTGCCTGTTTTCAACTCGTCTCGTCGAAAATCTTTGGACTGAACTGGGCTTAAAAGTTAACAGTTGCAATAGTGAATGTGCACTTTCAAACACACTGTTGCCTGTGTTTGTTGTTTGTTCATTGTTGGCTCAAACTGTTGTCTTTGGTTCAAGCAGTCACCACATCACAGCACTGAAAATGGCATCTAATTGTTTTTCATTGTTTTGAATCATTGATATTCTATTTGTCTGTAAAAATATTCATTTTGGAAACTTGTGTCAGTGCTACAGAGCTGTTGATGTTTGGTGAAGTCAAGGAAAAGATTTCAGTTATTACATAATAGAAATGTCAGATTACTAAAATGCTGTAAGACAGACACTAGTGTCAAAGGAATTATCCACAGTCCACACCTGGACTCTCAGTGACTCTTTCTGACTCTCAGTGACTCTCTGACTCTCAGTGACTCTCTCTGACTCTCTCTGACTCTCAGTGACTCTCAGTGACTCCCAGTGACACTCAGTAACTCTCAGTGACTCTCTCTGACTCTCTCTGACTCTCAGTGAGTCTCAATGACTCTCAGTGACTCTCTGACTCTCATTAACTCTCAGTAACTCTCTGACTCTCAGTGACTCTCTCTGACTCTCAGTGAGTCTCAATGACTCTCTCTGACTCTCTGACTCTCAGTGACTCTCTGACTCTCTCTGACTCTCAGTGACTCTCAGTGACTCTCAGTGAGTCTCAGTGACTCTCTCTGACTCTCAGTGACTCTCAGACTCTCTCTGACTCTCAGTGACTCTCTCTGACTCTCAGTGACTCTCTGACTCTCTCTGACTCTCAGTGACTCTCAGTGACTCTCTGACTCTCAGTGAGTCTCAGTGACTCTCAGTGACTCTCTGACTCTCTCTGACTCTCAGTGACTCTCTGACTCTCTCTGACTCTTAGTGACTCTCAGTGAGTCTCAGTGACTCTCTCTGACTCCCAGTGACTCTCAGTAACTCTCAGTGACTCTCTGACTCTCAGTGACTCTCAGTGACTCTCTCTGACTCTCTCTGACTCTCAGTGACTCTCAGTGACTCCCAGTGACTCTCAGTAACTCTCAGTGACTCTCTCTGACTCTCTCTGACTCTCAGTGAGTCTCAATGACTCTCAGTGACTCTCAGTGGGGCTGTGTAATGTGAATCACTGATGCACAATCAGTGCATAAGAACATGATTTGTTGAAGACTGGCTGAGCTGTGACTGCGTGTATCTCACAGGAAACGATCAAAAGGCACATAAAGAATGACCATGTGTGTAATGCATGCAATATATCCACACACTCACACACACATCTTTGATACACACATATTTGGACTTTGACATACGTACACACTAAATCACACACACAGGGCTGACATCACTGCAGCTGTGGTAAGAACCTGATCCTGTACAGTGGTCCTCTGCTCAAATAAACTCTGTGGTCTTTTCTCTCCCCCTCTCACACACACACACACACACACACACACACACACACACACAGATTCCAGATAATTGGAATCAGAGTCCTCTGAGGCGGCAGTATAGTGGAGCTACAGCAGCTTTAACAAGTAGCAGCAGCGGCGCTCACTTGTGATTTTAAGTGTGTTTAACAGTTGACAAAGCTTCACTTCCCACAACAGCAGCACAGCAGGCAGCTATCAGAGGTCAGGTCTGAGGTCACACGTCACAGTACGTGATATATCTTAAAAAACGTCTCTGACTGCAGGTTCCAGAAGCCTGCAGCTCGGGACAAGCAGTAAATAAGATGAAGCGTCTGTGGGAGAAACACAGTAACCTCAGTTTACTGTAACTGAGAGATGATGTTTAGTCAGTTACTCACTCTCTGGCTTCAAACACCAACAGTCTGCTCTTTGTCTTTCCACCGTGTCTTGTCATCCTTCATGTCATCAAACCCGACCAAAACTGTGACATTTGACGCAGGCGGGTGATGCAAAGTTTATTTATTGCCGTGGCAACACTGACAAATTGCGATCCAGCATTTAAACTGGGCTCCTGTGGAGGTGACGTGACTCAGGATGTGACTGCAGCAGATACAGAATACATTTGAGTCAGCTGGAAACAGTAAGCATGTGTCCGTAAAGCCTGTCCGCTGTTCACACTGATCAGAAAACATCAGATGAGTCACAGATGAGAGAAATTAAATTACAGCAGGGACAGTGTTGCTGTCTGATAAGCTCTAAATGTCATGAACTCATGCACGTAGTTCACATTTCCACTGCATGATATGACATAGCTCTACTTAACTGGACTCACTCCTTTTTTGGTTTTCTGTGAGGAGAAGCCGTGGATATACCTGGTCTTTATTTGGTACCAACATATCTGCATATGTTTGCACAGTCTGTCAGCAACAATACATGATTTTGGTAGTGGAAGCATTGCGGTTTCTATTTGAGTAGTTTGGACCAAACACCTTTAAACAGGTGTTGCTTGCCTGCAGGGAGACAGTCCATTTGCAAAAGAGATGAAATGCAATCTCAGAACCCAGCGGCTACATCTGACGAAGACTTTGCTTTTCACTGGCTTTTTTTCTAATTTACCAGTATTTATATACAGATATGTGTTTATAGAGATTGGCCAAAATGATGCTTTGACCATAGACTGTATAAATAATGGATGTAGCTAGGGATGCAGGATAATATCAGTATGTCATTGTTATTGGCTGATATCAGTTTTAGAATGACCTATCAGAATCAGCCAACATGCTTTTTCTTATTTTGCACAATGAATGAATATTACAGGCACTGAACAGTGTTTCATGTCTCCATCTGCTGGTGAGCCGTCACGATAAAGGTATGCATGTACAATATGATGTTAACTTCACTACTTGATGATCACTAAAAGTAGGTAGGGAAAAAATCGGATATATTGATATCAGTATTGGTCATCGGTCAAATAAGTTGGTACATCTCAGCATATATCAGCAAATTGTGCATCCCTAGATGTTGCTACCATGACGTCACCCGTTGGTTTGAGGACTCCTGTTTTGATGCCTTGAGTTCAGCATGTTTACCATCGACGAGAGGGTGGATCTGACTCATAGACTGGAGCAACGACAGCCTTGATGGAATGTAATCAGGACAGTTCTATAAACATTCAGCCCCTGTACAGTTGTCGTGAATGTTGAAATTAGCTAGAGATTTGTTTATTTCTGCTGTAAAGTTGGGAGTCTGTGGGTATTGACTCACTCTTGGAGCCAGCCTCAAGTGGACATTCGAGGAACTGCAGTTTTTGGCTTCATTTTTAAGCCTCTGAAGCTGCTTGGTGTGGACCTGTCTTATGTTGCTGGTGTAACTATCATCCTCAAACGATAAAGCTGATGGGTCCTGATATCGAGGTTTTAACTGAGCTGATCAGATACTACAAGGTGGAGTTAAAACACTGCAGATCACTGACTGGTCAGAGAGAATCAGGGCATCCTGCACAAACACGCCTTTTTAATGAATTATTTTAACAACATTTCTGTAGGAATGACCCTACACTAAGGTTTTAGATCTATGGAAGCGGTCGATCACTGTAACATGATCGCGGAACCTTGTTTTTTGTTCCTACAGATCTTTAAGTCTAATTGGTTTTAAATCTGAACATTCTCAGAGTGTGTTTATTCACCTGCTCGGTCACTGAGCTCCCTTTAAAAACAGAAATCTGAAGCCATCGGTCTCAGTTTGATTTTAAGTTTAGTTAAAGTTGGTCTGAGTATTTACTGCCTCCTGCGTCTCCTTGATAAAACGTTCAGCGCTCCCTGAGGGTCAGTTAGAGCGACTATTAGTAACACAATCCAGTGAGGAAAAAACAGAATGTGAATAAAGTTCAAATCAAAGGGGGGTAAAGACTCAGACACATGTGGTGTGTGGGTTCAGATCAGGTTTTGGGTGAACGCAGTGAGAGTTTAAAGTTTACTGATACTGAGCAAACAGCTGAACATAATGCAAATGTCTGTCTCTGAGCAGTCTCACAGATGTGTTGGAAAACATGTTTTTTAAAAGTTTATAAAGTTTTTAAAGCACACACACGCACTGATACACAGATACACTGGTCGTGCAGGTAAATCTCTGTACTGAGGGTGTGACCTGGTGACGACAGTCTGGGAGTGTACAGAGGTGAAGCAAGATGAGACACACACACACACACACACACACACACACACACATACACAGTGGTGAATAGTGATGCTGAATTTGACGTGAAAATGTCTGGTCTTTTTAAGCCTTTCATGACCTCCTTTCCGATTCTCTTCCTTCATTTCACCCAGTTTACCTCCGTCTCTGTTTTCTGTGTTGTCTTTCTCCTCCCACAGTCTCAGATTATTAATTATTACGCTGCTTTTATTTTCTCACCCCTTCCCCACCCATCATTAACACCAGAGGAGCAGAGTTTCTCATTTTTAATATCAGAATCCTCACAGCGATCTGATAATTGATAACAACCTGAGAGTGAGCTCAGTTGAATCAGAATCATATAGAAGTCCCAAATTGGCAAAAACTAAAACCAAAGACACAGAAAGTTTTAGACCAAACTAAAACTAAAGCCTGATTTTATGTGCGAGAACTAAAATGTTTTTTCACACCTACTTGAATTTTTCAGTGTAATTTTAGTTTTCTATAACAACTCAATCACTGCCATCTCCTGGATGTGACAGGATGCTGATGTTGTTTGTTCGCTGCTTCTCCATTTGAATTTAAGGTGTTCCCCAAGGTTCAGTTCTCGGCCCCCTCTTCATCCTGCTTCATACTGAACTGTGACAAATCAGAAGTTGTCATCATCAGTCACAAATCTCTTATCAGATCCACCCATAACTTCTTCCCCTCCATCGATGGCTTCACTCTGCTCTCCTCCCCTCATGTCCATAACCTCGGTGTCATCTTTGATCAAATCTTCTCTTCTGACCTAAACAGTCCTCTTCCATCTCAGAAACATCGCCCGCCTCCGCCCATCCCTCTGCTTTTCATCTGTAGAGAGTCATTCATTCATGCTTCATCACTTCCAGACTGGACCACTGCAACAGTCTCCTCCACAGTTCATGATACAAAACTCTCAAGAAACTACAATATATCCAGAATTCCAGGGCTACTCAAAGTTCACCTGGTAGATCAGGGTCCCCCTGTGTACAAAGGCTGTGTCCTTGCTGCAACGGCCTCAGGTTTGGATTCCAACCTGCAGCCCTTTGCTGCCCATTATCCCTTCTCTTGCCTTCTTTCCAACGCTGTCTGCTCAAATACAGGCTATAAAAGCCCAAAAAATAATCTTTAAAAAGAAAAATTACATCCAGAATTCTGCCGCTCATCGTCTCACAAACGAATGCACCTGTGACCACATCACCCTGTCCTTCATAACCTCCGCTGGCTCCCTTTCCCCCAGCTTATCCTCTTCAAACTCCTTCAAACACCACAACCTGGCTGCCCCTACATGTCTGAGCTCCTCCACTTGCGCACTCCCTACCTGCACTCTCAGGTTATTGTTATAATTTTATTATTATTATGATAGCGATAGCGAATCAGCTGGATGTTAGAAATTGATCAAAATCAACTGAACAAACAATTAAGTTTTGTGATCACTAATAATTTTCCAACATGGAGAACTTTGAGCGTTTAGAAAGAGGTTTGCACTTCTGACTTTCACATTGAGGAAACTTCCTACATATTCAGTCTGACATGTGGATTTAACCCTCTGTTTTGTGTTTGTTGGACGTAATTTGTTGCTGAAAGTTTCAGTCACCCAGGACGACAGGTCAATGAGGGAGAGGAGAGAAGGAAGTGGGCCACATTTTCCTGTTTTCTCCTGTTTTCTTTGGCTTCCCGTCTTCTCTCTCTGCCTCATGTATTCAGACCAAATTGAATTATTCACATAATCACGTAATAATTGCTTGTCTGGACTGAAAGGTGCACAGTAGTTGCAGGTAATTATTGCTATCTGTAATAACCTGGAACATTCCATAATTAAAGCGTCCCTCCCTCCCACCGCGGCCGTCCTCTCTCATATTATTCCTCTCTCAGTCCGTCTCTCACGCTGCTTTATTTCCACTCATTTTCCTGCTCCACTCAGGTTCTCTCCCTCTCCTGTCGTTTAGTTCACCTCCTCCCCCCTCCACCTCCCTCACTCCATCTCTTCTTAACAACTGTTTTCCTCCATCACCCCTTCCCCTCGCTCTGTTATTCTAGCTAAGTGTAGATTTCTGCCAAACTCAGCACTGCTTAAGCTCAGGACATCATTATAGTTGGCCTTAGCTCTCCTCCTCCCCTCTTTTTTCTCTTCTCAAAATTTCCCCCACTTTTCACAAAACTTCCTTTTCTGCTCTCTCGACAAACACTTGTCCGAACCTGGTGTTGATGTTGAGTCTCTGGGCCTCGTAGCTCTCAGATACTCATGTAATGTGAACATCTGCAGTGTTGACTGTGTTAACAAATGTTAACCTGACGGCTGTTTGGAGAGAAAGCCTGAAAAGCTTTGTGCTGACCTCGTTTGATTCGCTGTAGAGGTGTTTTGCAGAGATGGGCGCCACTGAAAGAGGAAGTGAGCTGTGAATTTAAGGTTGTTTTTCAGGAAGAGAGCTACAGGAGGAGGGAGGATGAAAAATAGTGTAAAATAATGCAGAACTAATCAGTTATTATTGGTAGCAGTAGATAATGTAGCATCAGTAGAGGCTTCTCTGAAGGACAAAATAATATGTATTTAACTCAAACCCAAAATAATGTAAGGTAATGAGGAGACAGAAACTGTTTTTACTTTTTAATATGCAAGCCTCGACAAAAGGAGTCGATTCTCTCTGCAGGCATCTGAAAGATCTAAATTGTGTAGAGCATGATGGGAAATGCAACATAACAAGGAAAAAGTATGATGAAAACAATTCTACAGTTCTGATATGTTTTCTTTCTCTCAGGAGTTCCCAGGGTTCTCCAGTCCAGGTTCAGTCTTCCTCTGGCGTTGGTGTGTGTTCCCTCCTCTCCCGCCAAAACCACCAAGTTTAAGATCACCGTGGACACCAACCAGCCACCTGTCAACCTCAGCGCCATCTTCCCAGGTAAAAGCAGACACACTAACACACACACATTGTACACTCTTACACGTCAAAACACTTACACAATGTTTGGAAAAACTGTTCTCAGTTTCACAAACAGTCAAAGTTCTGCTTTTGGATCACACATTTTTATAAAAACCAACACACTGCATTGGTTGAGGCTTTGGCAGAGGAGACTTCTTCTGTAAACTGATACATGAACACGCACCTGATCCACTGTGCTGCTGCTGCTGGTCAGCATGTTGATGAAGGTGGACCTGCAGGTTTCATGTGGTTGTAGGAGTTATCTGAATAACCTTATTATCTCTGACTACAGTTTATCATTTTTGTGAGTGCAAGACGAGTCATTGTACAAAAACACTGTAAAAGAAGACCATACAATAAAGATGCATTTTCACCCAAAAAGACTAAAAGACATTTAGTCCCAGGGAACTAAAAGGTTCCTTCAGACTATTGTTATCTGCACTGACATGAGAACACAACACGGTGGGACGAGGGTGTTGGTGGTTGCAGTAGTGAACACAGTCTGCAGCCTGCAGTTCACTGTGTCCGTCTGTTTCATCAAAGAAGAAAAAAACATGTTGAAAGAAATGGCACCTCAGGTTTTTTCTCACTGCGACGACATTTAGGCTGCTGCTACAGAGCTTTAGTTGGGTATAATGAATCACATGCAGAGTAAAAAGATGAAACCAAGAATGTCAGTCTCCAGTGAATTGAGCTGAAGAAAATTTCCATTTACATCCAATTTTTTTTACATAAAATCATGATCCTTCTGTGGAAGGATGCAACCTTCCAAGTCAGGTCCTACATGGACTAGGCAAGACTCCCTCCTAGCACTCGGTGAACACACATTGTAACAGGCTAGCGAGTGCTCAGGTGTGCGTCGTTGAAGAGGCCCCGCCTTAAATTATGTGGGTACTTCATGCCTGAAGAGGATACACACACACATCCTTGAAAATTCTCTTAAGGAAGGACTCAGTCAGAATCAGTAGAATTCGAAGCATCCTTGACATTAGGATTCGATGCAATAGCGTCCTTGAAATCCAGCCGTTTAAGGATCCTTCACGGACTTTGAGAAGCTCCAACTAAATTGGTTCCTATGGTGACGTGTGTGAGTGTGAATTTGTGAATAAGTGACTCAGTTCTCTGGATAAATATGATTCTATAAATGCAGCCTGTTTAAAATTTAATTTTAAATAAGATATGAAACCAGAGATGAAACAATATAATATGAAACATGTTGGTTCAGTTGATCTGAGACAGACAGGTCCTACAGATAGTGTCAGCTGAGAGCTGAGGACCAATAAGCATCCACAGGAGGGCGTGACATGACGCCAGATGACGTGAGCAGGAACGGAAAGCTTGGGAATGAGAGAAATGTGTAGCTGTACATGTGTATACATTCATATGAGTCATCAGCTGTTATGTGTCTGTGTGTGTGTGGTTGTGTATTTATACCAGTGTGTTTATGCCTGTTTATTTATTTGTGATGCTGTGTGTGTGCGTGTGTGTGCGCGTGTGTGTTTGAGCCCTGAGAACCTCTGTTGTGTTTCCCAGTTATCTTCGGTACAATCGCCCACAATCAGCAGCTCTGACGTCTAAACACACACTCAGCATCCTCTGTGCTTTTGTGCACGGAGGGATTTGTGTAAGCTGCTGCCTGCTTACATTGTGTGTCTTTGTGAACAGTGTGACTGTATCTTGTTCACCTTTGTTGGCGTCTTGCATCACGATAGGCTGTCCTATCTGTCTCATCACGCTGCTGTCTGTCTTTCTGTCTCTGCAGAGTTTTCAGCTAAATCAGAAGATAAGGATGGGAACAGTTTGGCTTTCCAGTTCCTGTCAGGAGCCAAAGTTACTGTGCAGGCCTCCAAGACCTCCCGTGAGTCTGAAAACACCACGACATACTGAGCACTGGTTCACCTCCATGGAAACTGGTTTACATGTAAATGTGGGAATTCACCGTCCCTGACACAGAGCTGCTTCAGAGCTTCAAATATTTCCCAAATGGTGTCTATATTACTCTCAACGTTTTGTTGCCTCTTTGACACATTTCAATACTTTGTGATGAATCATGAAAACCTATTTTTTTACTTTTGATTTCTCTCTGTGACTCTTAGAGCCTACTAGAATAATCAGTAACCTCCCCCTCCACTTTGCTCTTGACACAGTGCATAATCTGGGCACAAAGTAAGGCACAGGAGGGAGAGGGATTGCACTTACTCCCTTTATTAATCATGTGGTATTTTGGGCATATCATGAATTAAATGATGATAACCTTCAAAAGCTGTGCCTGCACCTAGTGCTCTACTCTTTGCATGGTGGATTCGGTAAATTGGAGCAGCGAGCGATTTCCTACTGAGAGTGAGGCAGTGAGAGCAGTCATGTCACTGCAGCAAATATCAGAACTACAAACTGTAGATGTAAACTTGACAGAGGAAACAGAGCTGAACTTTAAGCTTCTTAAATAATCAGAACATGTGCACCGCGTCTCTTTTTGTGTGGAGTCAGACAGCAGCTCTGCAGCTCTGCTATGTTCATGCATATTTTCCTCAAGAATGATGAATTATTTCACACATCTGAAACCCATCCACACCTCCTTGTGTTTGTAACAAGCAGAGTGTACGAGTGTTGTGAACACGCCTCTGTAGATGCATCATACTATGTGAATAATACGCCTTTTTAAATAGCAGGAACATATAGTACCGCACCATTCTGACTTAGGACCAGGTTTTTGTTGGTCAATGGATCAGTCGCTTTCTGCTGCCTCAGAATAGCTAAATGCCAAAAACGCACCTGACCTGACCAAACCGTATTTTAAGACCAACACGTCCATGATGACAGATGGGCTCAAGTACTACTCATGCTATGTGGGCACTAGCTGTACTGCATCAGTCTGAAACTAGAAATGCACAGCTCTTTGAGCCGCTCTGCAGTGAGTGTAAGATACCCCTGAAATTCTAAGACTGTCTTTCCATACGTCTTGAACCTTCTGCAGAGCCTTAATAACAACCAACATGCTACTTTTGAATATTGTCGTCCATCACGTTTTGATACCTCTTGGTGCCTTTTAATATCAGATAACCTGATGATGATGCCTTTTGATATGCCCTTTAAACTTTTTGAGACCACCGACACATTTCTTTACCTCTTGTTGACACATCTTATTCCTCTCACTTCTTTAGAGCTCGACAAACCTCTTGATACCATTCACCAAGTCTTAAGACCTCGTGATATATTATTGTTATTTAATATCTTTAAATGTTTTATTGTAGCCTTTTAATGCTGATCATGACTTTTACTTTTTTTCTTTACTTCTCAAGTCACATCAGCGGATTTAATTTCCATTCACAGTTATTGTTGTCATGTTACCCCATCCCTGCGTAAGTGTGTCTGTCTGTGTTTGTCAGAGCGTTACCGTATCCAGAGCGACCACTTTGAGGACATGTGGCTGGTGGTGAAGGAACTGGTTCAGAGATTCGACCAGCATTTCTCCAAACTGGGAGTCAAAGACTTCAAGAAAAGCTTCAGTGGACCGCTCCCGCTGCAGGAGTACTTCCTGTCTGTGGACAACCACTTCCAGGTATACATCAACGCTGATGCATCAGCTGACCTTAACAAAGAGATAACAGAGTATTTCCAAGTAAATAAGAAGTCTCCCTGTGTGTGTGTGTGTGTGTGTGTGTGTGTGTGTGTGTGTGTGTGTGTTAGCTGCGTGTCAGTGCTCAGCAGTACCAGGATCTGCTGTCAGAGCGGGCCGTCCAGTTCAGAGCCATCCAGCGCCGCCTACTGACTCGATTCAAAGACAAAACCCCGGCACCTCTGCAGAACCTGGACACGCTGCTGGACGCCACCTACAGTCAGGTGAGACACACAAACACACACTCACAGAGTTCTGCTGGAGACTTGGGTGCTCACATGGGTGATAAAGGAGAGACGTGGATGGAGGTGGCTGTGAAAAAACTGCTGTGGACTTTTAAAGTGTCATTGACTACAAGACCCATAATCCTCGGGTGATATGGGCCAATCACTGACTCTTTAAATGCCTCTAAACTACAGGAGGTGTGTTCCTTCAGCTCAGGCTGTGGTTGGCTATCGAGGCCAAAACAACAGCACTGGAAGCTCCTATTGGCTCAAGTGAGGTGTCAATCAAAAGGTCAGGAGCTGGCCTCCATTTTGAGATCCTGGCTGGTCAGTTATTTCCATGCAGGACAGAGACATGATGGATAATATGTGGAGAAATGTGAAGGTTTGAAAGGATGCAGCAGCAGTTGGTGGATATCTGTGGATGGAATCATGTGTTTGGACGAAATATGTGACTGGATTTAGATCATCTGGACTGTTGTCAGTGTGTGAGAAAGGAAATGGGGACTGTGTAAGCTGTGATTCAGTCAGGATAATATGGATCTGTGGATTATGATAATGCTTCACAGGTGAGTTATAACTGTTTGCTGTTTGACAGAAGCAGTTACAGAGCCGGGCAGCATGATTGGCACCATGAGGAGCGTAGCTTTCAAATGATAGGTCCTATGAGTAAACCATTTAAACAGCAACAAATACAGAAGTAGTTTTGCATGTTATAATCATAAAAAATCACCTTAGGAGGGCCCATGGACGGGCCGCTGGATTTCTAACAGTATATAAATATAAAGTTTTTGTGGAAAGGAGCAAGTTGAGGTGGTTCAGCCTCTGATTGTTACGGCTCTGAGAGGAGACTGAAGGGGAGGCGTGCAGGAGGTTAGACATGATAACACCTCAGGGGCCCCCCAGGGGACGCTTGAGGACATCACTGGGGTGGAGAAACTGAAGGTGTAGACAGCCTCACTCAGTCTGCTGACGCTGCGACCTGGATCTGGATCAACAGCAGAAAATATATATTCATATTTTAATTCGTTTGACTGTTGGTGGCAAATTTTACCTCAGAGTAAGTCTCACTCTCCCACTCTCTTATGCTGTCTTTCATTAACTTACAAAAATACACATGTGCGTACACACACACACACACACACACACACACAGAGCGATGACGTGTTGGTGTAGATTTACAGTGTGAGAGTTGTGTTCTACTGATTTATGGACTTCCTCTTTTAAGGTGATTAGCTGTGAGCTCACACCCAGTTGGACACACACACAGACACATGCACACACAGACACACACACACACACACACACACACACACACACACACACACACACACAATGTCACATTAGTTTAAACAGATACAACGTGTTAGAGACACACTTGTACCTGCACGTCGATGTTTAGACGCTCGCTCTCCATCCCTCTTTCTCTTTGTCACAAAGACTATGAGTGTGTGTGTCTTTGTGTGTGCTTATGTATCTGTGTGTGTGTATCTGTGTGTATGTGATGTAGTTGAGGTCAGTGTGAAGCTGATTTTGAAACAAAGCAGCCGTTCAGCTTTTGTCTTAAGTTTGACGTATGGGAAGGTGGAGCTGCGTTTAGTGTCTCAGTGATTGTGTGTGTGTGTGTGTGTGTGTGTGTGTGTATGTGTGTGTGTGCGTGTGTGTGTGTGTGTGTGTGTGTGTGTGTGAGAGAGGTAAAGTGATGGTTCCTTGCCCCTGCTGTTTACTCTAGAGGCCGACTTGGCGGTCATCGGCTGCACCATCCATTAGCTTCTCGTTAGCGTAGCGTGGCGGTGTGACATCATCTCTTCATTAGCTGTTAAAGCTGTTGGTGCGTCAGTGTTTGGCTCTCTGTGATCAGAGACACTCTCTCTGTTCAGCACGCTACTCTAACAATACTTTACTCTGACGCTCAGTAACTTTCAGTGAGTTCAAGGAGAGGAAATTAATGAGCGTGTTGAAGTTCTTAATGCCATTAAAGCCAAATAAACAGCGTTGACCTCAGGTTGGCTGCAAGCTGTCACATGTTAATATCCTCACTCTGTTTAATGTCTGCCGCCTTAACTGTTTAATCAGCAGCACTTACTGCAATCATACTTAATCTGTGATGTTTTTTTAGGCCTGCTGCACCGTTGTAGTAATAACGTGTTGAGATCCATGTTGAAGGATATGTTTTTTATTTAGCCTTTATTTCAACAGGTTTGTCCCAGTGAGGTCTGTTACAAGGACGACAAGAATAGCAGCAACGCAGAGTTTAGACAAAAAAATAACATTTACACTAAAGCACATAGTGTTGAGTCACATGAAACCATCAGATAAAACTTGGAATGTCCCGATCCGATCTCAAAGACCAGGGCCAATCACATCATTTTTTTAAAACTGCTCGGGACTGGCTATAAAGAGCTTGATTGGATTCTTTGTTTTACGTTAGCTGTCACACGAAAGCTTTCATGTGCAGCAACAAGGAGTGCAGCCTTCGTCAACTCTCCTCTACTCCTCTGAGCTCCTGTGTGTGTAAGAGCAGCGCCTGAGCCCCGCCCACAGCAAAACACCACATGTTATGAACCAAGGATGTACGATAATATCTGCACGTCATGATCCTATCCCATATACATATATCCCTCATGGACGAGCACAAGAGACTGCAGGTGGATACAGTCTGACAGGCAGCCCCTGGTTCAAAGCTCAGTAAAGGGACCTGGACCAGCCTCATTGTATGCAAATAAATTCATCTGTTTATTTAATTATGGATCTCTACAAATACAGTATGCAGTGTTTTAAAATTATGTTTGAAATCACAAATTTTGATGCACCAAAACTGATCTTTTGCCCGTCATAATGTCTGAGTCAAAGCGTACCCGACCTGCACCCCTGATCAACCCCCCCAGGCTCCAGTCCCTCACATGAAGCTGGTTCTCCGTTCTTGAATTGGACGTCTCTTTGACTGGATGGTGAAAACATTCAATCACTGCCAGGTTAGGAAACATGTTAGCATGCTCCTTCCACCACCATCAAACCTCCAAAGGATCCGAACTCCATGTAGGCTGCCACCTCATCCTCGGGCTGCAAAGTGTCGTGGCTGGAGTCCTCCACGTCGGTGACCAATGTGACCACGGGGTCAAAGGTTACACTGGTGTCACTGACTTTCAAAATAAAAGGAACTGTCAGAATATTAAACAGACTGCACATCTCTTTCATTTGTTTTATTCTGAAAGATAAAGAATAGATTTTTGTTCTCACCCTAACCCCCATGGAGATCATTTTTACCCATACTGTGAATTTATATGTATACATATTTTTACCTGGTACATAGCTTTTTGTTGGTTACCTGTCAGGTACTCGGCCTGGTTAGTTAGAGTAGCTGGATGCTCTGCAGCAGCTACGCCGTCCGTGTGAATGCTGCATGCGTGTGAGCAGCAGAAGTTCTGCTCATGCAGCCAGTGTGGCCTGATGCCTGAATTCCACTGAATGTGTGTCCGTTGCGGAACGGCTGCGCTGGTTATCCGCTGTGTGCTCTGCCATCCGTCAACACCCACCGGCTGCGTTTGCTGTGCGGAGCGGTGCAGCTCCGCCGGACAGCGGGAGTCATGAGGACCCAAGGGATCTCGCGAATTCACGCATAATCACACGATATAACAAGATGTAGTTTCTATAAACAGAACCACAAAACCAGAGGAGTAGTAGGAAGACATCTGGGTGCACCTCCCTGATTAACATCTCCTCGTCCATGGTGTCAACGGGGTGAAATGACGTCTGAAAACCTCTGACCTGTTGACTTCAGGCCTGCCTCCACCCATTATGACGTTTTCAAGGTGTAGTGCAGGGAAATATGATCCGCCGTGAACACTGTGTATTTTATTTTGAAAATTAACCGGATGTTTTATTTTGTTTCTGTGCACGACCTGGGGCTTACCTCATATAAGTCTGTCAGAGGGCAGTGGAGATGAGGAGGCCTGAGAGTGGCTGCAGCAGGTGAATGCACAGAGTAACATATGAGACTCTGATGGACAAAGAATGATAACGCTCATGTCTGATGTGTTTAAGCAAAACTCACTGTTTTATCATTAGTAAACATCACTGTAAAACTTTGAGTAACCTCTTCAAACTTTGTGTTTCTCGACTCGTGATGTGCAGTTTGAATTACGTGTCAAAATGTTGCTCTGTCTTCACTGTGACATCCAGCTCTGATATCACGACTCTGCCTCGTTGAGCTAATGCTTCCTGCTGTCACTCCTGTCCATCACCCCTTCTCTCTCTCCGTCTCCCTCTCCCTCCGTATTCCTCTCTTCCCGCCATCCCGCGGCTCGTATGCGGGAAGTTTCTGACACACTATACACTCTGTAATGTATACACACCCGCCATAATGGAGGCTATCGACGGCTGGTCGGAAGAGTGATGAATGCGTCAAATTAATAATTCATGTCAGTATTAGGAGTCATGCAGCTGAGGCCGGGGCCAGCTCAGCAGTTCACTGTCTGTAACAGGACCGGTTTCATGAGGACACTTCACAGACTCTGTTTTAATAAAAGGCTGATGGGAGGGAGATAAAAATCAAATGTGCTTTTAATTTGATGATTTACTGAGACTTTTTTTCTAGTTTCATCTGTCACTTTCAGTCAGTTTCTACTTTTCTTGGAAGGATTTCTTTCTTTCCAACCTTTTTGTTTTTCATCATATTTGATCTCATTTTAAGTGCATTTTCTTTCAGTTCAAACCTTTCTGATCTCTATTTGTTTGTTTCTTACTTATTTGTTCACTTTCTTCTGACACAGAGGTGGTAAATAAACCGTCTACCAGTTATTTATTTCCAAATAAGTGAACCTTTTAGCTTCCCATTTTTATTAGCTGTTCATTTAACACCTTGCTCAGAGGCACTCCAGCGGTCTTGATGAAGGAAGGAAGGATGTTGGTCCCTCACTTGTCCCACTACAATCTTTTTTTCTGCTCAGTTTCAGGCCCTTAAACTGAGTTTCTGGTCAGAAACCTTCACCAGGTGAAAC